GAGAATGGGCCGAGTTACCTAGCATGGGCTGAAGGTGGGGAGAAACTGCAGGGATGGGGGCTGTTGTTCAGGCAAAAGAGGAGACCAGTCTGAAGGCAATGGCGTAAGGATGGAGAGGGGCCAGATCTCAAAGGCTGCTCTTCTTTGGGGCCTTTGTGTCCCTGGCAGCAAAGCTGAGGCCAAAGGTCCCACATCAGTCCGTTCTGCTAGAACTTGGCACCCTGCCTTCCATACCCAACGCACTCCAGGGTCTCAGCATGCAAATGGAGAAGGGAGACAAGTGGGAGCAGGGAGGAGGGGGGAGAAGGAGAGAGAGAGGAATGGGCCCTGGGGCTGTGGGGCAGTTAAGGGGTGGTAAGACCCAAGCAGGCTTGTCTGATCCCCACTGCTCCTCCTCTGGCCCTGTAGAGAAAGGGTTAAATATGCTTCTCCTCCCTCCCTCCCTTCCTCAGGTCACCTTCTAGGCCCTGGAGACTTGGCTGGTGGCTCAAGTTCCTCAACCAGTGGCCCTGAGTAATCAGAGCCCACAGAGGGGCCAGGGGCCTCGTGCAAGGGAATGAGAAATTGGGGACAAGGGGAGCCTCAGAGACTGAGGGGCCGGGGCATCTGTGAGGCTGAGGGTTTGGGGGGGTCCTCAGGTTGGTTCCCAACACTCTCCACCTGACCCAGGACCCAGTCTCTGCTCTGATCTCAGTTTCTTCCACCCACCAGAAGAAAATCCCTCAAACTCCTCTCCTGGACCGTTGGGGGTGGGTAAGCTGGGGCCGAGAGCACGGTTCTGTCGGGAAACTTTTCTGCTGCAAGAGACGGGGGCCCCCTCCCAGTGCTGGGAACTGGCCATAAATGAGTCTGTGGTCAGTGAGAGACCTGTGCTAATGGAGCCTGGGCTGCCCCCCAAGCCACAGAAGAGAATGGAAGAGGGGAAAGTGACCTAAGTACAGCTCAGCATGGGGGAGGGTGCTGGCTTGAAGCAGAGATGGGGTCGGGGAGAGAGGGGAGGAGAAATGGGGTCAGGGACTGGCTGGAGGGAAACTGGAAGTCAAGGGAGTGTGATTGCAGGAGAATTAGGGGTTTGGTAAGTAACTGAAAGTACATTGGGGTCAGGAGAGTGACTAAAAGGAAACTGAAAGTCAAAGGAATAATTAGAAGAGAACTGGGGTAGAAGGGCCTATTGGGAGACTTGGGGAGTCAATGAAATAATTGGGGGACTGTGAGTCAGGGGGAACTAGAGAGGGATTAGAGGTCTGAGACAGTGCCGAGAGAGGCAGGGGCTCAGATGTGTCAGAGGCAGGACCAGGTAGGAGTGAGGGAGAGGCCTGGGGTGGGAAGACTGAGGGGCATGCGGAGGAATAGGTTGGGGGATAGGAAGAGCTTGAGTGTGTGTGCGTGATGGAGGAGGAGCAGGGACTGTGGCTGGCTCAGCAGAGGGAGCAAAGGACTCTGCTAGGTGTCATCTCACCTGGAGAGGTGGGTACCGGAAGCCCCTAGGATTTTCCAGGTTTCACTCTGTCTTCAGCCCTCTCCGTTCCGCTGGAGCTGGTGACAAAAAAGGTGCTCCAACCCCCCTCCTCTCCATCAGCCTTCCTTCCCCACTGCTATCAATTATTCATCAGCCCAGATACCCGCCCTCCCTAGCAGGGCAGGCTGGTCCTCCTCTCCACGCCCCGCCCCATCTCAGCCACGGGCCACAGAGGCCCTGGGGAGGAAGGGCACGGCCGGCCGGCCAGCTGGTGGCAGAGACCTGGCAGAAGGGCTGGGTGGCTGGCCCCGCCAGACCCTGCCCGGGATCACGTCTCCTTCCCCTTTCTCCTGCTGATCTGCTGGTGCCAGAAAGCCCCCGGAGAAGATGCCAATCCAGATCTTCTGCTCTGTGTCATTCTCCTCTGGAAAGGAGGCCCCAGGGCCCTTGGGAGATGTTTGGGGTCCCGAGCAGCAGAAGCAGCAGCAGCGGCGGCAACAGCATCACCAGCTGCAGCAGCAGCAACAGCAGCGAGACAGCTCAGAATCAGAAGAAGAGGAAGAAAAGAAGGAAAAGGAGGCAGCTAGGAAGGCGGCCGGAGAGGGGGATTTGCCTGTGGACTTGGTGGCCTTTGCCAACAGCTGTACCCTCCATGGCGCCAGCCACATCTTTGTGGAAGAGGGTCCAGGGCTGAGGCAGGCCCTGTGGGCGGTGGCCTTTGTCCTGGCACTGGGTGCCTTCCTGTGCCAGGTAGGAGACCGCATTGCCTATTACCTCAGCTACCCGCACGTGACTCTGCTAGACGAGGTGGCTACCACGGAGCTGGCCTTCCCGGCGGTCACCTTTTGTAACACCAATACCGTGCGGCTGTCCCAGCTCAGCTACCCTGACTTGCTCTACCTGGCCCCCATGCTGGGGCTGGATGAAAGTGATGACCCCGGGGTGCCCCTCGCTCCCCCAGGGCCCGAGGCCTTCTCTGGGGAGCCCTTTAACCTGCACCGCTTCTACAATCGTTCCTGCCACCAGCTGGAGGACATGCTGCTCTATTGCTCCTACTGCGGGGGGCCCTGCGGCCCTCACAACTTCTCAGTGGTGAGTGGGGGCCCATGCCTGGCATGGCACCCCAAGAGTGTCTGCTATGGCTCACCCTAACCATCACTTTCTGGGACTGGGGCTGGCGGGTCGTGCTCCCCCACCGCCTTTCCGGAACCACGCACCCTCTCTGACATGTCTCAGGAAGGCCTGGCCAGGGCTCACCCAGGAGCCCCAGTGTCTGGAGCCGGGCCACTATTGCCAGCACTGTTCTTCCTGTTAAAATCGTGACATGTATTTGTGCTAGTTGGTAATTAGTTGCTGCCCAGGGGCCTCTGGTGTCTCCCTGAATATCTTGAAGCATGCGCAGGTCTCCCTGTGACCCAGCAGGACCTTGGACCTTCCTCCGTCTCTGAGGTCAACCTCTGACCTGATGGTGGGTGCCTATGCGTGGCATTAACAGATTTGACTATTGTCCCTGGACTGGAGCTGTGGCAGGTGCCACAGGTTTCTGGAGGTGCAGGAGAAGAGTGTGGAAGGAAGGCGGAGGGGTGGGGACAGCCCTCATCTCCATCCCGCCTTACCCTCGTCAGCAGCTCCCACAGCAGGGACTTCACTGCCTCCTCCTTTGATCTTCCTGTGCTCCGCCAGGTGCATGTGTGTGTGTATCTGAGGGAGAATAGCAGGCCTTCTCTAAATCCCTCCCACTCCCCCCACCCCAGCTCTAAGTGGCCAGGGACCCTCTTCCCAGGGAAGCCCTCATTGGCAGCATCGATCTCTTGTGTGCCTTGCCACTCCAGAGCCTAAGGCCTTTCCCACAGAGAGACCAAGTGGCACCCCATCTTTTCCCCAGTTCAGCTTCCAGTTCTGTCTGCCCAGACTCCTCTCCTGCCCCTTCCAGGTGCCAGATGCCAAGTCTTCCCTCCCCACACACCTGTCCCTCAGTCCCCAACCTCCTCCCTAGTGCAGGAGCAGGTGGGTGTCATCACATCAGTGCATTGTAGACTGACTGCAGACAGACAGGGACCTGGAGATATGATCCGCTGGACCTCAAACGGGCCAGGAGATACAGGAACACTGACAAAGAAGGGATCCACCCGGCTTCCTCAGGACCTAAGGATAGAGCAGACACTTCTCTCCCAGAACCACGAGATGGCAGCAGCACAGCTCTCAGCCAGGGCAAGCCGGAGCTCCTCGAGTGCCTCAGCGCGCCCCCCCCCCCCCCCCCCGCAGCCCCTCACATCCCCAGAGGGAGGAACCTGTGACTAAATGCCACAAAGCCAAGGAGTGGGGCTGGAGGGGATTAGGAGCTGTCAGAGTTCTCTCTCTACCTCACCTTAGGGCCTCAGCCTCCGAATGGGGGACAGCATGTTTACTTTTCTGGAGGGGGAAGGGAGCAAAGACTCTACTTCCTAGTAACCCCCTCTTCCCCTGCTGCACCAGTCTGGTCTGACACTCTATCTGTCTCTTTCTCTGGGCTGTGTGTGTGTGTGTGAACTAATCTATGACTCGCGCTGTGGACTTGACTATCATCAGCAGTAGTAAAACACATTCACCCCATTTGTGGGAACCTGGCGGCAAGCTGTGAAGAAAGGGCCACCTTTCTGTGGTGACAACACGGGCTGCTCTGGGGCAGGGAATGAGGAGGCCACCCCCAGGGTGGAGGCCTCTTCGGAGGCCCTCACAGTCCTGCACCAGCATTGCCAAACATGCCGTGCCCTGGGTGCTCAGTACCAAAGGCTGAGGGAAGAGCTGCTGGTGCTTTGGTGAGCATGGTCCTTGGTATGGCAACTGGGACAATGATGGACATAAGGGAGTAATGGCTGGAGGACACTAAAACGTTTTAATTTGGTTTGGAGGAGGGTTTTAAGGAAAGAGCTTCAAACAGCTGGGTTGAAAGTCAGGCATATGGCAGGGAGAGGATCCCGGTTAGGGAGGTATATGTGCCAGGGTCCTAGCAGGTAAAAGATTGTCGCTCAAATAATGTAATTAAAAAGAACATAACAGAGGGACTGCTTACAGAGCTGTGCGTAGAGTTAAGGAAACCAAAGAAGGAGCCTGAAGCACCTAGCAGCAGTGGGAAATTGTCACACAGGCTGAAGGAGCACAGGGAGGCAGCTGGCTGTGCAGGGAGCCCTCCTGCAGGATTTGTTGTCGCAGAGGGTCTAAGCCACTGCCAGAACACCCAGGCACATGAGGGGTGGGGAAGGAAAAGCGCCCCATCTCTCCTTCCTTCTGCCCTCTGATCCCTTACTGATACCTCCCACTGGCCAACCCAGCCGGAAGCCTGTCCAGGTAGCACAGAAGCACCTGACAGGGATTAGCTTTGTAGTACACACAGCAGCCCACAGAAGGGCCGAGAATGGGTGGGAAAGAAGATGAAGGGATTATGGGCTCCCTTTCAAGCCTGAAGGGCTGTGATTCCAGCAGTTGGAGGGCAGTCCGGGACGGCCTTTAGGGGACAGAGGGCGCTGGCAGGACTCTCAGGCTCTTCACTCTGCCCCGCCAGGTCTTCACGCGGTATGGAAAGTGCTACACGTTCAACTCTGGCCGAGATGGACGTCCACTGCTGAAGACCATGAAGGGTGGGACGGGCAATGGGCTGGAGATCATGCTAGACATCCAGCAGGATGAGTACCTGCCTGTATGGGGAGAGACTGGTATGTCACCTCTCGGGGGCCCCCTCCCCATGGTTGCAGGCCTCAGCCTCTGGCTGGGGACTGCTGGGCTCCACCGTGGGACCAGAGACAGGCCCTTGGGCTCTTCTCCCTTCCTCCTAGTATCTCACCATCTCCTTCTCTGACTCTACCTGATTGTCACACTCACATTTCTCCGGCTCCCCCTTTCTGGCTCAGTTACTCTCCAAGGTAACCAGCCATCCCTTTCCGTCACTGGCCGCCACTTGCTCTATAAATAACTCTCTTCTTGGGCTGCCTGCTGTCTGTCTGGTCTCAGGGGCTTGGGGCAGAGAGATGGGGGTGAAGGGAGAATAGGAGGGGGAGAAATGGAGAGCAGCTGAGACAGTGCGAAAGACTTTGAAACACCAAGATACATAGCCAAGCCAGGTATGAAGAGAAGTGCACAGGATACAGGGGTCATCAGGGCGGCATGGGGCTGGTGAACCCAGAAGAAAGCTGGGGATGCGCTGGGGCCCCATAAACGAATCCCCCCACTCCCCGTGTATATTGTGCTTATTCCCAGGAGAGGCGGATGTCCCCAGCTCTGGAGGAGGGTAGGGAGTCAGAAGCCCTCCCAACACTCCCCCTCTCTCATTCTCACAGACGAGACATCCTTCGAAGCGGGCATCAAAGTGCAGATCCACAGTCAGGATGAACCTCCCTTCATCGACCAGCTGGGCTTTGGTGTGGCCCCAGGGTTCCAGACCTTTGTGGCCTGCCAGGAGCAGCGGGTGAGAAGGCCACAGGAGGAAGGTCCCGGGGCGGGGTGCTGAGGGGTCAGGATGGGGTGGCGGGTGATCACTAATGAGAGGGACAGATGAACAAGGGCCTGGGTAGTGATGCGACTAGTAAGAAGCATGAATGAGCTTTAAAAATGGGGATGCTTTCTAAACTCTGAGACCGTCAGAGACTGTGGAGGGAGAGGGGCAGGACTCCTGAGTTCTGCATCTTGTCAAAGAAGTCCATCACGGTGATTCGGGCAGAAGTCCCCACACCCCCCAGCTCCCCGGCTCTCCCAGCAGCTCATCTACCTGCCCCCGCCCTGGGGTACCTGCAAAGCTGTTACCATGGACTCGGATTTCTTCGACTCCTACAGCATTACTGCCTGCCGCATCGACTGTGAGACCCGCTACCTGGTAGAGAACTGTAACTGCCGTATGGTGCACATGCCAGGTCAGGTCCCCAAAGCTCCCACCCCCGTCCTGGGGCCCCTCACCCCATACTGCCCCCTTGCCAGCTCCCCATGCTTATCAACCTCCTGCCAACATGGAAATAAGACCAGCTGGCTTCTCCCGCCCCCAGTTCCAGGCCCATTCAATACCCATATGTCTCTGACCTCAATTCCTGCCTGTGCCCATAGGGATGGGTGGGAAGGGTCCAGAAGGGATGGACTATGGAATGGGTCACCTCCAGGACATATTGGGAGCTAGCTAGTCCTATCTTCTCGTACCCTCCCAGCTTCCGTCTAGACCTTTGTTACAACCACTGTCACAGCCCTTTAATCTTCATCCTGCACCATTATCTTCTCTCCTCTGTAGGGGATGCCCCATACTGCACTCCAGAGCAGTACAAGGAGTGTGCGGATCCTGCTCTGGGTGAGCGCCCCTGTCCTGGGGCAGTCTGGGGTGGGGGGAGGAGGGACTGCCAGCCATATGCACAGGGGTTTCATACCAAACTCCGAGAAGCTTCAAATAACTCCTGGATCAGGCTTCACCTGAACTCTCCCATGTGTGACTTTAGCAAGGATGGAAAAAGCCTCTCTAGAGGCCCCTGTGAAAAATGGACAGGGGCCACCTGAGAGGGGCCCTCGCCCTCCCTCCTCAGCACCTCAGCTGGCTGACCCCTGAGGGCTCCATGGGAATGAGATTAGGGCCAGGAAATACCCATGGGGAGACTGGGTAAAGATCAACACAGTGTGGGCTCAGGGCTGAGGCAGAGGATGGGTCCGAAAAAGAGAAGGGGGGCCCACGGTTCCTTTGGGCAAGGCCAGAATGCGTGTGTTAGGAAGGTGCTGATAGAAGGGCACCACTCAACTGGTGCCTCTCACCTGGCTGGGCACAGACTTCCTGGTGGAGAAGGACCAGGAGTACTGTGTGTGTGAAATGCCCTGCAACCTGACCCGCTATGGCAAGGAGCTGTCCATGGTCAAGATCCCCAGCAAAGCGTCAGCCAAGTACCTGGCCAAGAAGTTCAACAAATCTGAGCAGTACATAGGGTAAGGGCTCTGACTGTGCAGCGTGGGGCCATTGGGCTGGGACTGTGCAGGGTGTCAGCAGGCTTTGATGGGAGCCAGCAGACAGGAGGAGGTTGAATCTGGGGTGGGCATGGAGGAAAGATCAAGCCTCAACAAGTAGGGGAAGAGCCTCTTTCTCTTTCCTGCTCACCTCATCCTCTGTCTTCACCCTCCTTGCTGTAACTGGGATCACCTCCCACTTGCTAGCGTGTGGGGTGTCTTTTTGTATATGTCATCGCATTTAATCCTCACAACAACCCTAAAAGGCAGGTACCCCCATCAGCATCTCATTTGATGGATATGGAGACTGAGATTCAGAGAGGATAACTTACTAAGGTCACCTAACTAGTAAGGGACAGAGACGTGACTTGAACCTAGGTCTCCTCCCCCAACCCCTTTGCAGGGAGAACATCCTGGTGCTGGACATTTTCTTTGAAGTCCTCAACTATGAGACCATTGAACAGAAGAAGGCCTATGAGATTGCAGGGCTCCTGGGTGAGCTGCTGATGGCACCTGTCCCCTTCCCATGTCATGGGCATGGTGTGACACCCTACCAACCAAAGCAAACTGCTCCCCTCCGTCCCATGAGCTCTTCCTTCTCAACATCCCCAGGGGCCTTTCCCCCAAATTCTGCTGTCTTGGTATTTGGTGGAGGGTCGGGGTTGAGCCTTCTCTTTAAGGTAAAGTGGAAGAGACATGAATGCGGGCATGAATGGAGGACTATTTCATATGCCCTTGAAAATTTGTCTAGAAAATGAGTGTTGGGGTATTTCATATACAATTTTTTAATAATACTTATTCATTTTAGAAAGTAGAAAAAACACAAAAGCATGGAGAAGAAAATAAAGACCCCATCAGAATCACTTTGCCCTCCTTCTGTACAAAGGCTGTCGATCCTTTCGCAATTACGACTTGTCTGCCTCTGTCCCAGTGGACTTTGCGGCTTCCATGGTGTCTTGACCCTCCTGACCTCCTTGTGCCCCCCTGCAGGTGACATTGGGGGCCAGATGGGGCTGTTCATCGGGGCCAGCATCCTCACGGTGCTGGAACTCTTTGACTATGCCTACGAGGTAAGTGGGGGCAGGACGCCAGGGTGGGGCCACGGAAGGCGGGGCGGGGGGGGCGGGGAAGAGCAGGGGAGAGTGGCGCGGGGGATGGTATACCGGGCTGCCCGCAAAACCACCCACCACCTCATATGTCTCAGGTCATTAAGCACAAGTTGTGCAGACGAGGGAAGTGCCAGAAGGAGGCCAAAAGGAGCAGCGCAGACAAGGGCGTTGCCCTCAGCCTGGATGACGTCAAAAGACACGTGAGGGAGCGATACAGGGGTACCCTCAGGCCCCGCCCTTCCCCCCACCACCCCTGGGCCACGCCCCTTGCCGCCTTTTCTCCTTTACCTCCCCCAAGCCCTATCGACACCTGTTAATAACCACTCCCTGTCCTGTGCCATTCCCCCAGAACCCGTGTGAGAGCTTGCGGGGCCATCCTGCCGGGATGACGTATGCTGCCAACATCCTACCTCACCATCCGGCCCGAGGCACTTTTGAGGACTTCACCTGCTGAGCCCCTGCAGGCCGCTGTACCAAAGGCCTAGATGGGGAGAGCTAGGAGAGCAAGGGGGCCCCCCGGTGCCCCCCACATCTGCCCTGGGGAACCACTCCCCCTCCCAAGGCAGCCCCCAACTCCTGGGCAGTCCTTTCCTCTTGTCTGTGGTGAGGAAGGAGTCTTGACCATAGAGTCCTCTCCCTGTCTCTATACCATTCTTTTTATTTTTAACAAAATTTATCTAAAAAAGAAACTAAAAAGAGAGAACTGGGCAAGTGACCTCAGGCTGCCCCTCTCTTCTCCATGCTGCCTCCCCCGGCTCCCAGCCTGAATTCTATCTGTCTGGCTGTCTGTCATCTGAGTGTCCACCTGCATTTTGCTGCCACCAGTCACCAAAGCCCCTCCTAGCGGTGGTGGGGGAGGGGATCCTCCAGATCCGTAATTTGGCCCCAAACCAGAGAATGTACCTTGAAGGGGAGGGATAGTGGTGGTGGTGGGGGGCTTCCCCAGCCTTAAGAGACCCTCTCAGCCCAGTGACCAACCCCCAACCCCAAGTCTCCAGGCAGGAACTAAGACCCTAGCCTCCCCCCACACACATACCATGTAAAGTCACTAGGGAGGTGGGGGTGGGGACCCCCTGAAGAAGTGGAGATGGGGACAAAATGTGGCCCTGGTGCTGTAGGCCACATCCTGATATCGCAAGTTCATTCCCATCCCAGAGCTGCTGGAGAGAAATCCCAAGGGGCAGCCTTCCTCTCCCATACAAGATCCAGCTGGTTGGCTTCCAGCTCAGGGAGAGGGGCACTGGTGCCTAACCTCACTGGTCCCGCTCCCAGGGGCCCCTGCAGAGGGCCACATCCATAAATTTTCTTATGGAACCCTCCCAAGTCCTCTTCCCCAACTTCATTTGCTTCTCTCAACAACCTCATCTGCATTTTCTATTTCTATGTGATACAGACTCTATATTGCTATATCTCTGTATATACTCTCCCCTATGTCTGTCTCTGCCCCATCCCCTTTTGTCTCTAAGAACCATCCATTCTCCCACTCCGAGCACCCCTTCCTGTGTTTCTGCTCCCTCCCTGGTCTCTGAATGCCTTCACCTGTATAAAGAGTTGGACTCTCTCCCCTGGTGTCTGTACTGTGTACACACATCCCTCTGAGAAGCACAAGGAGACGACATGCGCATTGTAACCTTCGCACTGTCTCGGTGGCGACATAAAGGAAGCTGTGAATCACAAGCTCTGCCTCTTTCTGGCCTCGCCCTCTCCCCTCAACCTGGGCACCCTCTGTCCTCCCTGCAGCCTTAACATTCCCTTCTCTTCTCCACCCACCCCAATGCCTTTGTCTGGCTGCCTATGACCTCCCAAGGGAAGGGACTGGTACAGAGAGAGCTCCCACCCAAAGGATGGAGATCTGCTCTGCACATCAAGCCAAGGGCTTCAAAGACTGAGGGAGCCATGGATCAGTGACTCCTGCAGGTGAAGCAGTGGGGTGCTGACAAGCAGAAGCTGTGGTCCTCAGTCAGTGGCCTTTCCCTCCTTCTAGGTGCGCAGCCCCCTTTCCTCACCTGATACCCAATCCCATCACTTATATTTTCTGGTGAGGTACAGTCTGGTAGTGAGAGGAAAAAGAGGAGAAGTTGAAAGTGATCCGTACCTTAAAGAGAAGTGAGTGAGTTAGAGGACCTGCTGTGCCCCCTCCACCGGACAGTCCTCTCAGGCCAGAGCCCTGCTCCTTCCCAGGCCTTCTGCACCCAGCTATCTCCTGGTCTCCAACCCCAGAATAGGACCTGTGGCAGGTCACCTGTGCATTGACCTGCAGCTGGAGAGTGAGGCTACAGGATCTTTGGAAACTCTTAGTTCCTAGTGAGTAGTTCCTTAGAGAGCAGACCTCTCCAGAGGGAAGCAGGAGCAAGGCCAAGGGGTATGCACCAGATAGAGGACAGCAAGCAGAGCTATGGGTGACGCATGCCTCTGGTCTAATAAACTGGGTTTCAACCATCTCCTCTTCAGTGTCGTTTTTCTCTTAACTGAATAGTATTTAGGCCTTTCCATTAAGTGCCTAGAGCTAGGTTTGGCTTGGGGCTAAAGCTTGGGCCAACAATAAGGAGGCTTGGTCCTACTGGTATGAGACAGACTGGCCAGGAATGGTTTGAACCACCGGACAGGGAAAGAGAGGGGTCAAAGGCAACAAAGATCCCAAAGAGAAGTCCTAGCACACAGGATGCTTTGGAGAGGAAGCAGGGTAAAAATTCAAAATAAAAACCTGGAAGCAGGTTAGGTAAAAAGTCAGGGAATAAGTTGGGTTGACATTCTAGTGAGGTAGCTACTGAAGCACTTTTATCTGTGGAATGAACTCCGGGCTACATACGAACCACATCTGGATTCTGGGCTTTGGTTTTACTCCTAATCTGTTGGTTGACCTTTGCCAAGTCATTTACTCTCAGAGTTCAGCTTTCTGTTTGTAAATAGAATAAACAGTGCGTTCTCCTCTTCAACCCCTCGGGCTTATAGCAGTAAGAGAAGGAAACGAAAAACAATCAAAGCGCTTTGGAAAGTTGAACGCATTGCGGCAAGATGAAGCAATTACACCATCACCCCCTTCATCAGAGAGCGTTGGGGGCGGGGGCGGGGGCGGGGGCGGGGGCTCTGGGGCTTGTCTTCCTCCCGTCGGCCTGGGGGCGCCCGCTCACAGGGCCTCTCTATCCCAGAGATTTTCTCTATGGTTCCCCCTCGCGGACATTGAAGGCGGGAGGGCGTGATCAACACGCTTTTTCCGCTAATTGCCCGATCTAGCCCACAGTCTCGCTGCCCTGAGCCTCCCGTGCCGGCCGGCCGGCCGGGCGGACAGGCGGGCTCGCGGGGGGCGCGTGGGGGGCGGGGGGAGTTCCGGTTCCGGTTCTTTGTGCAGCTGCAGCAGCGGCTCCGGGGAAGATGGCGGCCCGGGCGGGCTTCCAGTCTGTGGCTCCGAGTGGCGGCGCCGCAGCTTCAGGAGGGGCGGGCGCGGCGGCTGCCCTGGGCCCGGGCGGGACTCCGGGGCCTCCCGTGCGAATGGGCCCGGCGCCGGGTCAAGGGCTGTACCGCTCCCCGATGCCTGGAGCGGCCTATCCGGTGAGTGGGGCAGGAGGTGGGGCGCGCGGGCCGGGGGGCGGGGCTGAGCGGGGGCCTGGGAGTGACAGCCGTACGGGGAGAAGTAGGAGGGACTCCTTTGGGAGGGATTCGGGCCCTAAGTGGGGGTAGGGAAGGCAGTGCGGAGGAGGGTACTGGAGGCAGTTAGCATCTCCACCTGCTCCAAGGGGCATTGTTTCCGTGGGGAGTCAGGGTATAGAACCAGGATGGATGAAGTGGGACCAACGGTGGGCAGATGAGCACAGGGGTGCAAAAGGGCTTGGGCAGCTCCAGGGCCCAGAGGAACCATGAGGTAGCTGGCAAATTGGTCAGCTTCCAAGGAGATAGTAGCTGACAGTACTACCTGAGTAAATGTGGAACTAAAGGATATGTCCAATGTGTCAGATACAAAGTAAACTAGAGAGAATTTTAGTATGATCTGATTCTTAGTTTTTGGGCTATATCCTCTCATGGAATCACGACTGGAACAGAGGAAGCTCCAGTTACCTATATTTTAAAGAGGCAGAGGGCTCCTCCCATTGTGCTTCACCGCGCCCCGCCCCCAGTCTTGTTTCATTTAAAGAATTCAAGAATCCCCCACTTTTCCTTTCTTGATGAGGTTAGTAGGGGGAGCCATGACATGTCTGGGTTCTCTCCCCTATGTAGAGACCAGGTATGCTGCCAGGCAGCCGAATGACACCTCAGGGACCTTCCATGGGACCCCCTGGCTATGGGGGGAACCCTTCAGTCCGACCTGGCCTGGCTCAGTCAGGGATGGACCAGTCCCGCAAGAGACCTGCGCCTCAGCAGATCCAGCAGGTCCAGCAGCAGGCGGTCCAAAATCGAAACCACAAGTAAGATGACCCTGGGGAGGAGGGATGGAGGGAAGGGGCTTGTAAGAACTCAGGTGGTGGGAGTATCTGACCAAGAAATGGTGGTGCTGTGTCAGCAAATGGTTTCGAGAATGCCTCATGTTGGTTGGGGGATTGAGACAGAGTCTTTTGATTTGAGAGAAGGTTTGCAGTCCCTTCACTATACTATAAATGGAGGTGCTGACAGCCTGTCTTCATGTTCTGGTTAGTTCCATCCCAACCTGATAACAGTATCTATTTTGAACAGTGCAAAGAAAAAGAAGATGGCTGACAAAATTCTACCTCAAAGGGTGAGTCCAGGCTATAGGACTTCTCAAGGGTGTGGTAAGTTTGAGAATAGAGATGGTCAGCTCTATATTCCATATCTTTCTGTTTCTAAGATTCGTGAACTGGTACCAGAATCCCAGGCCTATATGGATCTCTTGGCTTTTGAAAGGAAGCTGGACCAGACTATCATGAGGAAACGGCTAGATATACAGGAGGCCTTGAAACGTCCCATCAAGGTAACACAGGAGCATGCTAGGCAGAGAGCCAAAGGAGAGGACTTGGGAACCTTCAACAGGCTTAGCATGAGAAATCAAAGATACAGCACAGTTCTCCTTGGCATTTAAATTACATCTTTCCTTTTCGCCTACGAACTGAGAATTACATTAGAAGCATAAAAACAGAACAGCAAAATGGGAGGGGCTTTTGATACCTCTTACACCAGAAATATACCTTGCCTTTTTTTTTTTTTTAAGATTTTATATATTTTTAGAGAGGGGAAGGGAGGGAAGAAGAGAGAGAAAGAAACATCGGTTGGTTGGCTCTTGCATGCCCCCAATCGGAGACCTGGACCACAACCCAAACTGGTTATCTTTTGGTTTGCAGAATGACGCCCAATCCACTGAGCCACACCAGTCAGTGCTACCCTGCCCATGTTTTTGCTACTGCTCTGGCACCTTGCATGACTTAGTCCACCTGGCATCTCAGTCTATAAACTTGCAGTCAGGCCAGTGGCCTGTATTTCTAGATGGAATCTCCATCTACCCACAGTAGTGACTGGGTAGACAGGAAGTCAGTCTGTTAGGCACAATTTTGGGGCTTGGGGAGACTCTGTCTTTACCATCAAACCACTGAAGCTCCATCAGTAATCCTGTTTGTGCCTTCAGCAAAAACGGAAGCTGCGAATCTTCATTTC